TTCCTTCTGCAAAGGTATACATGACAAATTGACAATGTTCACAATTCTTGCCTTAGATCTGACTCGGAAAGGCTCCAGGAACTGTAGTGACCTGCGGAAGCGGATGGTAGAGGCTCCCAGTACCATGGAGCCTCCCAGCTTCACTACGTTATCCCAGAGTCCTGTCGACTCGTACAACTGGAACCTGCCGAAGTCACACTTCCGAGTGAAGCGAGCGTTGTTCTTGTGGCACATGAAATCCATATCAGTGGTGGTCACCAGGCCTGGGAAAGAAGTGAAAGAATTATCCACCCTGAATGTCCATCACAATTAGCAGTTCAGCCAATGAGAGGATGGCAATTAGTACTAGTAGTTCAACCAAAGAGAGAATGGTAATTATCAGCTCGACCAATGGAGAGCCTCGGCCCTCCATGTCCATCAAATACATTGTACTTGCATTTTCTATGTTTTGAACTTTTGATGGAGGTGGGCGAGAGAGGTCCATAATGCTTTTGCACCATTGATTTGTTATCGATTATGGGAATGTGACATCTTTGACAATTTGATAATATTGTGAATAACAAAAGTTAACACCTCATGATTCTGTCAAACGCAAATATTTGCATTTTTATGGTTTCATTTTGAAGTTCTACGTCTTGACGGAGGTGGGCGGGGCTATGGTCTACATTAACGTCCACAATGTTATGTGTATGCCACCTGTTATCATGATGGATTGAGAAAACCCGTTTCATTCATCAAAGCTACAGGAATTTTTGTTAATACAATAAATGACAGCGCTTTTGAGAAATCCGCATCAAGGATGAAAGCAAGAAATCTTCGTTCACCATTTAAATCTGACCTTATCAACAAAGGTTATGGGGAGGAAGGGGCATGAATAAATGGGTGTAAATTGAGAAATCGAGCTTACCATAGGTAACTACTTCCTCCAATACGCCTTTCCTCTTTATTGTTTTCTGTATCCTTGCTACGGCCCACGTTACGAAACCATTGACGAAGTACCAGACATCAAAAAGGGCAAACAGCACCAGTAAAATTACATTCAACCAAATCGCCGCCATGTTGGAAGAGCGCACTGACAAGATGGGGATGTTTCTAAAATAATTTTGTGTTCAGCAAAAAAATTTATAAATTATGTTTATAGAAAAGGCTTAAAAATGTGCCACGGTCTTTAGAGATGCAATGCATTATACTACATTCAGAAATATTTCGACAATATCCGAGTCTTGGGTTGGTCATTGCTCATTGGTGGCTTTTGGGTCACGAGATGTCAATGACCCATGATACGGGTCAAGCACAGGATTTTTGCAACACCCCAAGAATTTGTCACAACAAACGTCGATTTTGAGAGGCGTTCGGTATGTTTTGTGTTCTTGTTGTACAATTTGATGATATAGTAAGTGAACTATGAGTGATCAGGCCGAAAATTAGAACACCAAAGTGGGTATTTATGGCTATGCAACTGTTACAGGCCAAATATGTGGGGAGGGGGGCGGCTGGGTGACAGTCTGTGGCAAAGAGACCAAAAGATGAGGGGGTATCATCTTTTGGTCGTACCACGGGCTATAAGTTATAACCGTTACACATGGGCTATTTAGAAATTATCTTAAAGCATGGAGGTAAATTGTGTTTTACCTCCATGCTTAAAGTTAAAGGGACCGCAAGAAAGCGGTTGGTGGTAAAAGCAGTCCAGGCAACGTCCGGGAGGACACATTTTAGGCAGTGTTCACAAAAGTGGTCACATAATTTGCCAGGTCGTCCTTATGTAGAGGTGGTCATATTTCGTACAGGTTTGACTGTATATCATTAGCCAGGTGGTCCCAATATTTAGACCTGGTCATTTATATATTGTATAGCCATTAGCCATTGATTCTTAGGTTTTCTCTTCAGAGGATGCCTTTGTTGAAGTGCCCGCGGACGCTGCAGACGTCGTGCCTTGACGCGGTGTGCAGACTGCCCCAGGAGGAGTGGGACAGGCCACACATCGCCACATGGCTACCTAAAATCATCAGTGGCATAAACCAGCCACACAACCTCAGTAAGTCACTCAGCTGCATGCATGCTTCTGTTCGATGTTCTCTAGAAACGTTATGTAACAGTAGGGTTCAAGCGCCACTCCATCGGGTCGGGACCTTTTGGCATAGTCGTTAGCGTGCTGGTGTCGTAAGCTGGCTGGGTTTGACGTGGGTTCGATTCCCATCGTCCCCGGAGTCGTTTTTTTCTGTTTCTACTCGCTCCCAGTTGTTTCAGTTTTTAGACCAAAGGGGTCTGTAGAATCTATGCGTCTGTGAAGGAAAGAATCAATGGGTTTGGTTGTAGTATTAATGTGTACCTTCACACAACAAAAACATATTTTTTTGCTGTCACTTCTTCTCCAAACACATAAGGCCAATGACTGTAGCAGACACCATGTAATATTGCTATTGGATTACATTACTAGTATGTAGCAAGTGACAGGACAGAGCTGGAGGGGCTGGTCACCATTTATACATGCGTATATCAGTATATACATGCAGAGCAGTAGTTTGTTCGGCTGGACTGCAAGTGAATATAAACATGATATATTTGCTTTGCAAATGATTCCTTTCTAATTATTTATCTATTGGTATATGCTTATTGAGAGTGCCTGTTTGGAGCATTTATTAGGAGAGTGATGAGTCTTACACATGTAGGTTACACATGTCTTCAGACTCACTCTCAGTCAATGAAATGACTCACACTGATGAAAGATAGTCGATGCTACCTGGAACATTTAACCCCTCAGAGAATTTATCCAATTGCTTGATTTGTATAATGCAATGTTTTAGCTGGATGTCTAACCTTCATCAACATAGGTGTAAATTTGTTATCTTAAAATGTAGCAAATACATTTGTAATGAGAAAGTCATGTTGTGCTTTACCATGTATGTAAGATATCAAGTTGTGTTCCAGGTGCAAACCTGTACCAGGCATTGCTCAATCACCTGATCCAGTCAGAGCAGCTGCAGTCCTGGCACCTGCACTATGTGGCCCATGAGAGTGTAAGGTGTCTGCGGCTGGATAAATGTCGTAACGTCCTTGACAATGATTCTGCCTTGCTCATCTCTCTCCACTGCCGAGTAAGTTTTCTTTATATATATCCATTTGTCCCTGAAACAACTATGAAAAATGAAAGTTTTCAATCATCGTACAAATGGTTCAGTGGGAACATATAGCTATATAGATTGTTTTGTCTCTCCTCTTCATATTTATCTGCCATCCATATTCCAGCATGGCAAGGGGGGCAACAAAATTTCTTTTTTTTTTAAATGCGTGCACTGATAAGTCCTCTGTGTTTCTTAAGGATAGAACATGAAAGGAAAAAAGGAATGTGATCTCGATCCAGTTTTAGCTCACTGAAGAGCTAGTCTCCCACTGGTCGTCACAGAGAAGACAGATGCTATGTACAGACTATACAGGTTCACTGTACCAGGAAATTCCCCAGGCTCTTTTCGATAAGCAACAATGAACAGTGGACCACGGCGTAGTGACCCATCCTAAGGACTGCAACCCTTTTGCAGTAGTGTGCATTCTGTGACAACAGCCAGAATTCAAACTCCCAACCTCTTGGTCCAGAGGCAGGGTTTCTAACCATTAGATTATGCACACTACCATGCATTGGATAACATACACAGGATGAAATATGAATTAAGATGTAATATGATACATAACAGTTTTTCTCCCTTTTGCAGAACCTGCAAGATATCTACATCAACTCATGCAAACAGCTGCCGTTGTTGGGTGTCAGCTTCTTGTGTCATCATCCCAGCTTGACCATTCTGGACATTACTGGTACCAAAGCAAACGACGAGACCATGGCAATACTGGCAAATGGATGCCCAGAACTCCAAAAGCTGGACATGTCAAGCACAGAAGTCACAGACATCGGCTTATTTGAGCTGTGTGGTCTGAGGGAGTCGGGGACGGGGTGCAAGAAGCTCTATCGACTCATAATACACAGCATTCAAGTCACCCTCTTTGGTCTGTCCTACGTGATAAAGGCTTTGAAACAGCTAAAGCAGTTGGGCACAGATCTGAACACCGGTCTAGTCCTGTATGGCATTTACCACGACTACCTTATGTACAACCTTCCCTTGAATCCTCTCAAGCTGGACTATGTCAGCTTTTCTTCACGTCACATGCTTGACTCCTTGCCAGTGCCTGCTTCATACATCAAGGCCCTGAGGATATGCCCCAATCTGACAGGTCTGGTGCTACGTTCAGCCATGCTAGCAAACATTGACGAAGAGATTTTGCAAAGTCTTACCCTGCTGAAAACTCTGGAGGTTGAGGAGGATGAGTACCGAGAGCACACGTTTCAGACAGTAGTCGTTCCCTTCCTGAGTAGAATTGGTGCCAAGATGGAAGATCTCACATTCACCGGTTTCTCCGATGTGGACCTGTTAGCAGTCTCAATCCACTGTCCTAAGGTGGATATTTTAACACTAGAGAATACACAGGGTTTTGCCGAGCAGCCAGCCCAGCAAGTGAATGATTCTGCTTTTCAAAATCTTAAATCATTCTTTGTTGAGATTGCTTATGAGGAGCTACAAGAGCCGATCCGGTACCAGCTCGGCCACGTGCTGAAAAACGCACCGAACGTATCGATCCTGCACCTGTGGGGCGTGGACTGCATCACAGATGACTTCATGACTGACGTGATGAAGCACAACAAGTTCGAGTTTCTCAGGAGCTTGCGGCTGATCGACTGTCCCAGCGTCACACGGAAAACCGTTGAGGCCTTGATGAATGCAGAGAACCGCTTCGCCGAGTTGATCGTGGATTCCTGCGACAAACTGAAGAAGACAGACCTGGAAGAGTTAAAGAAGCTGGCAAAGAGTAAAAATCTTTCCCTGACTGTAATACAAGGCTGGGGTAAACCAGAGGAAGCTAACAATGAAGAAGCACAGTGGTTAGCAATGTAGGTTGGCTCGACGTGTTTGACTTGATCTCCAGATTAGAATTTTCCAGCTTTCTCAAGAAAATGCACTTTAGTGCACTCAAAATTAATATTATTGGAGCGCTAGCTGTGCACCTGATTTTTTACTGTGTGCACCAGCATATTTGTGTACATGTAGGGTTATTTTTATGTTTATTATGATTTTACACTAGTATAAAGCATGATATTTAAGGTCAGAAAAAAGAATAAAACCTTTGTATTAGATCTACTTGTTTGTAAGTTAAAGTTATTTCAAAGTTAGGTACTAGATGTAGTAGTAGATAACTTCAGATTTAAGTTCTGACTCAGGATTGTTATGTTGTACATGTACATCCATTTTTTTCCATTCATACTTTTCCCTTGATATCACATCACAGAAATAAACATTCCAATAACAACACCTGTAGATAATTTCAGTTGTAATGTCATCTTTATTGTGTCTTTCAACTCATTAAAAATTTTTATACCAAAGCCACTGATTACAAAAATGCTAGCTATATTTTAGCTGCTGAGTCTCTTTCAACCTTTCTGGATAACCAGGCTACAGCAATTGAAGTAGCACCCTTTTTGTTCCAAATAACAGAACAGCATTGAGGATCAGCAGTAGCACCTTTTTTTTCAAGTTTGTTACCACCGCACATGATTGTACACGTAACCAAGTTGTCAGAGAAAACTTGCACTAAACATTACAATAGTCATAGGTATGAAAAAAAATTGGTGTGGAGACACATAGGCAACTTCAAGATACAATATACCTCACATCTCAGTCTGATACATATTCAAATCAAAACTCTTATTACACGCCACAATGTTAACACTTTTTCTGAAACAAAGAAATTAATCCATCTACACACTCTTGCATCTCAAACAAAAAAGAGATTATGAAAAAATTTCAGGGTGGTCTCAGTTACCGTAGCGCCACCATGCTGGAAGAGCGCACTGACAAGATTGTGATGTTTTTTTTTTTGTGTTCAACGGAAAATTTCATAGATTAGGTGTACATGTATAGATTAAGAAAAGGTTTTAAAATGTGTCGGAGTCTTAGAGACGTAATGCATTTAACATGTACTACAATCAGAAATATTTCGACAATATCCGAGTCTTGGGTTGGTCATTGCTCATTGGTGGCTTTTGGGGTCACGAGATGTCATTGACCCATGACACGGGTCAAACGTAAGAAATTTTGCAATCCCGCACGAAAACTTCACCACAAACGTCGATTTTGAGAGGCGTTCGGTATGTTTTGTGTTCTTTTTGTACAATGTGATTATATGTTAAGTGAACTATGAGTGATTAAAGCGAAAATTAGAACACCAAAGTGGGTATATGTGGCTATCCAAATAGTTTCAGGCCAAAATTATGTGTGGGGAGGAGGGGGGGGGGGCGGATGACAGTCTGTGTCAACTGTTGGTATCATGTTTTGGTCGTAGCACAGGCTGTAAGTTATAACCGTTATGCATGGGCTATTTAGAGAGCTACATGTAAAAGATGCCCACATTGAGTCATTACTTCGGGTAGCTGCACCATATTTTGGTGTAAAAATAAATGTAAGTAATTGTATGACGTCAGTTATAACTGTTATAATATGGCATGGCATAAATTTGCCCTACATTTGTTTTTCACACGTTACCCCTTGAGTTTAATCCTTGACGTTGATTCTTGATGTTGAATTAAGTTTGCAACTAAAATATTATACAGTCAAAAAGATAGTACTCTTATCTTATTCTTGTGTAATTATGGGGAACTTATCTAAAACGGACTGATGAAAAGTCACATTTGCCTGGTGGCCCTACATATACACATGTGTACAGGTGGTCATTTGCACAGTTTTGACTATATATCAATAGCCAGGTGGTCCTTATGTGGACGTGGTCACTTGTACAGGTTTGACTGACAGTAATTCTGAGGTTTTCCTCTACACTTCAGAGGATGCCTTTGCTGAAGTGCCCCCGGACGCTGCAGACGTCGTGCCTTGACGCGGTGTGCAGACTGCCGCAGGAGGAGTGGGACAGGCCACACATCGCCACATGGCTACCTAAAATCATCAGTGGTGAAAAGCAGCCCTACAACCTCAGTAAGTCACTCAGCTGCATGCTTCTGTTCTCTAGAAATGTCAGCATCTGCGTGAAGGAAATGCACCCCCCCTCGCTATTCAAAACAATGGGGTTCTTTGCGGCCAGTCCCATATGCCCTTTAAATGTAGGGGTACTTCTTAAAGATTACATTGACCACGAAAACAGCTACTGTAAAAATAGAAATTCATACATCATCACAGGCATGCCTGCAGACGACGTATAAAATTACATGACAATTAAACAAAGGGAACCGTGTGTTTTAGCTGCGATAGCGAAAAACCGAGGGATACCTCCTTCACAGAGTAATAAGGTCAATGACTGTAGCAGACACTATGTAGGGTTGGATGTCTGTCGAATGTCTGTTGGTAGTCTGTATGGGTGGCTTTAAATGTAGCTAATAATGAGAAAGTCATGTTATGCTTTACCATGTATGTAAGATATCAAGTTGTGTTCCAGGTGCAAACCTGTACCAGGCGTTGCTCGATCACCTGATCCAGACAGAGCAGCTGCAGGTGTGGCACCTGGAGTATGTGGCCCATGAGAGTTTGAGGAGTCTACGGCTGGAGAAGTGTCAGAACGTCCTTGACAATGATTCTACCGCTCGTTTCTCTCTCAGATGCCCAGTAAGTTTTCTTTTATTATCATGATAGTCAATCTGTGTTTGGAATTAGATATAAGAAAATGGAATGACCATACTTTCACTGGACCTTTGTTTCTTCTGGATAGAATATGAAAGGAAAAAAGGATGACCTAATCTCTGAGGGATAACATACATTAAGATTATTGATTGAGATTGAGATGTTTGGATACATGTATTTGTTTTCCTAAACGAGTGAAAGGATAGCATGATAAATTGCAATGGTTTTCTTCCTTTTGCAGAACGTGCAAGATGTCTTTATCAACTCGTGCAAACAGCTGTCACTGTTGGGAGTCAGCTTCATGGTCTGTAATTTTTCCCAACTGATCATTCTGGACATTACTGGTACCAAAGCAAACGATGACGTCATGGCAATGCTGGCAAACGGATGCTCAGGACTCCAACAGCTGGACATGTCGGGCACAGAAGTCACAGACATCGGCTTATTTGAGCTGTGTGGTCTGACAGAGTCAGGGAGGCAGGGGTGCAAGAAGATCTTTCGACTCAACATTCACAACATTCAAGTCACCCTCTTTGGTCTGTCCTACGTGATTAAGGCTTTGAAACAGCTAAGGCAGTTGGGCACAGATCTGAACACCGGTCTAGTCCTGTATGGCATTTACCATGACTACCTTATGTACAACCTTCCCCTAAGCCCTCTCAATCTGGACATTGTCAGCTTTACTTCACATATGCTTGACTACTCCTTGCCAGTGCCTGCTTCATACATCAAGGCCCTGAAGCTATGCCCTAATCTTATAGGTCTGGGGCTACGTTCAGCTATGCTGGCAAACATCGACGAGGAGATTTTACAGAGTCTTACCCAGCTGAATCAGCTAGAGGTTCACGAGGATGAGTACCGAGAGCTCACCTTTCAGAGGGAAGTAGTTCCCTTCCTGAGTAGAATTGGTGCCAAGTTGCAAGATCTCACATTCATCGGTTTCTCCGATGTGGACCTGTTAGCGGTCTCAATCCACTGTCCTAAGGTGGAGAGTTTAACACTAGAGAATACACAGGGTTTTGCCGAGCAGCCATCCCAGCAGGTGAATGATTCTGCATTTCAAAATCTTTCTTCATTCATCATTGAGGTTAATGTTGAAGAGATGCCACAAGAGCCGATCCAATACCAGCTCGGCCGCGTGCTGAAAAACGCACTGAACGTATCGATCCTGCACCTGTGGGGCGTGGACTGCATCACAGATGACTTCATGACTGACGTGATGAAGTACAACAAGTTTGAGTTTCTCTGGAAATTGCGGCTGATCGACTGTCCCAACGTCACGCGCAAAACTGTGGAGGCCTTCATGAACGCAGAGAACCACTTTGGCGAGTTGATCGTGGAGTCCTGCAACAAACTGAAGAAGTCAGACCTGGAAGAGATAAAGAAGCTGGCAGACAGTAAAAACCTTTCCTTGTCTGTTATACAAGGCTGGGGTAAACCAGAGGAAGTTAACGGTGAAGAAGCACAGTGGGCAGCGATGTAGATTGGCTCGACAATATGTGACGTTTTTGGACTAGATCTCCAGATTAAAATCTTCCAGTTTTCACAGGAAAATCCCTTTTATATTTAGGAGTGAGCTAATGTTGATAAATGCCGTAGCTTGGTAGATACTATAGAGCATCAGTAGGCCATGCTTGGGCCTGAAATATTGGGTGCCAAATTAATTGGAGCTGTGCACCTGATTCTTGACTGTGTGCACCAGTATATATGGTGGGGTTATGTTTATGTGTATTATGTTTATTATGATTTTACACTATCATAAAGCATAACATTTAATGTCAGAAAAAAGAATGAAACCTTTGTATAAGATAAACTTGTTTATAAATAAGCTACTAGATGTAGTAGTAGATAACTTCAGATTTAATGTGATTCAAGCTTGTTATGTTGTACAATGTACAGCAATTTTTCCATTCACACTTGATATCACACCACAGAAATAAACATTCCAATGACAATTATTTCAATTGTATTGTCATCTTTATTATCTCTATCAACTCATACAAAAGTCTTCTTACTAAAGCCACTAATTACAACAATGCTAGCATGTATTTTAGCTGCCCAGTCTGTTTTGTCCACTGCGCGTAACCAGGCTACAATTGAAGCAGCGACATCTTTTCTGCTAATAACACTACGGCATTGTAGTGTAGCATTGATCATCAGTAGCACCAATGTTTCAAGTTTGTTACCACTGCACATGATTGTACATGACCAAGTTTGCATATCCATGATTGCTTGCAGGAGAAAAGTTGCACTAAACATTATGACCTATCATACAATTATTCAGACCATAGATATGAAAAAAAACTTGTACATCTAGAACTAAAATTACATTTTGGTGGAGACAATAATTCACAGGTAACTTCAAGATGCACTACACCTTCAAATGTATATCTCAGTGCTTAAAGCTGTTTATTACACACTTCTAGTGGAACTCGAAAAGTCATAGTTCAACCCATTCTTGCCAGACAAATTTTAAAAAAATAGCAGCAACAGCACATTGCATACAATTACAGCTAAATCATGCCCTTCCCCACAGACATGAATGGGTTATTTCTGCTGACTTATGCATGCAGTACTAATTACACATTTCTTCTGTCATCATAGCATGAATGAACAAGACCACAGAAACAAGGTCAAGAACTAGAATAAGTCTTAAGTAATAGAATAAAAATCAATGGACCAAACTATGACTATCCTAACACAGATAGATTGTCCTATATTTCATGAAATTTAGGTCCTGTCAGTGTTATTTTTCAGGTAACAAGATAACTTTCATGATCTAATTGGGTTTTAGGTTATTACAAACTCAAGCTGCTCTTGATTCTTAAGACAGGTGAAGCCAACAACATACATGTATAACATTCATTTATTGAATATGGCACATGTTCCAGACCCATACCTCTATCTGAACAACTCAACAAGGTAATGATGACAGAAACAAGAAGTTATAAACTTGAGTGTAAGTCTATTCAAGTACAGTACTTGTATACCTAACTGATTTTTGTGATACTGTACTGGTACTGGGTACCAGTACACAGAACTATTCATGAAGCTTTCACACGCTAGATGTTGTTGAATAATCTTCACATTCTCTGACAGAAAGCAACCAATAGAAAAGCTGCAAGTATAAAGTATGGTGCCCTGTAGAGAGCTACCATGCAGTACATACAGGTAAACACAGCACTGACATACACAAGCCAGGATAACCAAACGACACTTCGCTTCTTCCTGAGGTAGCATCCCTGCAAGGGATACAGGAAAGCAAAACATGCACTCATAGCAGCAGCAGTGTAGAGAGCAGGGTCTGCCGGTAGCCTGTACTCAAAGTTGAAGTTCTTTCCCCAGAAGACGACAGAAGGCATGTACAGCATTGAGATGAACCAGATCAAGTACAGAATCGTGTATTGAAGATGGAAGGTGTCTTCCGCGTCAACAAGCGGACCAGGCTTTTTCTTGTCGTTCTCTAAGTTTAAACAGTTCCTCAAGGTGATGGTATTGGCATACAAGCGGCATGTCTTACCAAAGTACAGTGCTAGAACAAGAGCAAAGGCAAGTGCACCCGAAAACTGGCTAGCCACAGCCAGGAAGGCACCGGAGATGACGAAAAGTGCTGCCGGGTGGGGAGCTTTTCTCGTCATCTCTTCGGGATCTGTCGGTTTCTTCCCGAACCAGACCATGCAGTAACCTATCATAGTTACCCCGCCGAACAGGGCAGCCGACACCATCGCACAGATGGTATTCGCAAAGAAGAAAAATTGAATAGGCATGGCGTTAAACCACGTTCCCTGAGCTTTCATGACTTCTGAGTCCGGGAGAGGAACGTTGAGAGACAGGTACATCAAACGTGCACCCTGGTAACTAATCAATAGGGAGAAGAGGTTAACCAAAGGTGCAACTCTGTAAGGCTGGCAGAAGGCTGCCTGGGCTTCGGAAAATGATGGGCAGGGTTGCCCGCGGCCAATTGTCCTGATCTGGTAGGACAGCACCATCAGTATATTGGTCACTGTAAGCGCGGGTAAAACAATACCGTGGAATCTCATCAGCTGACCTAAAACTTCCACCAAATTGACCCAAACTTGGACCTTGTAGCTGCACCTGGGATTCAGATAGAGCCACAGCTCTGCATTGGTGGTTTCGTCTACCAGTTTTCCGCTCTGCAGACGCAGCGAAAGTTTCCTGCTTCCTTGCGAGACGCCGTAAACGTCCTCCTTGAACCATGGAATGTGCAGATGCATCTTTGTCCAGTCATTGTCCGATGAGTCTTCACAATCGCTTATCAAGCTGGCGGTGAAGGCTTGATACACTTCTTGTAAGCCTACAACACTGATGTTGTAAAACATGGTGTTGTTTGGAACTTTGATCTCAACTACACGTTGTATTGCAAACGACATGACATGGGGGACTTGTAAGTCCTCTGCTTTCTCTGAACTATTGTAAAACTGTGTTTGTACCTTTACCGGCTTTGACGACTTGGGTATAGATACAACAACATGGGAGAAACTCCTATAGCTGGCCAGATGCAGGTGAACAACTTTGTGGCCAGAGTATAGAGGGGGGCTCAGTTGAGACCGAGAGGACATGTCTAGCCCCTCTTTACACCTACGTCCCCCCTCTTCTTGGCACAAGTACACCCAGCTATCTTCTACAATGTTGGTCATTGCTACGAAGGTATCTCTACCTGACTCTACGTCAATGGGGAACATGTAGTTTGTTCTGTCTTTGTTTGCAGTCTCGGAAAATTCCCAAACTTCATCTGTAATTTCGACCCACTTATCACCTGGTGGAACTACACTTTGTACTGACGTTAGGGAGAAGGACTTGCTTCCAGGGTGGTGGAGAAAATGGTGGCGAAACACCTGCATCCTGCGTTTCACGTCCGTCGTGACCTGCCTCGTTGTCGGGTCGATGATGTCGAAAAGCGCCCTCTTGGTGGCCAGAACCAACTGCTTACACCACACTATTGCAAGATGGTCGGTGGACAGCCACACTTTCGGAATTGCCGATGTCACAGCGCTAACAGCGTTGGACTCTGGGACAATCCTTTTCAGGGAGGTGAGCCCCGACTGGACGAGGTAATCTCTGTGTGCGCCTCCCGTGGAGGCTATGGTGACGTGGGAAAGTCGTCCACTGCTCATTCCATCCTGCCAATACTGGTTGACTGTGCGGTAAAAGTCTGCCATGTACTGATCCGCATTGATGACAGGACTTTGGTGGGGGGTAGCCTGGGTGATGATGGTGTTGACCATCGAGGGATCAAAGTCAGGCAGGGTGAAAAGAGCTCTGGCTATAATGCCTCCCACTGAGTGACCGACAAGAACTACGCTTTTTGGTGGCGTCTCCGCCTTCCGGTACATCGTAAGGATCTTCAGTACACACCGATGGACAAACTCTGTCTGCTCCGACAGTATGGCGCCAAACATCCCCGTCAGTTCTTCATTCAGATCCACTGAGAAGTAGTTGAAGTGGAACGGGGTGCGGAGGTGCTGTGCTTTCTTCAGAGCCACCGAACCAAGCGACCTGACCTGCTTGTAGCTGCCTGCATTGCCGGGGATGAACAATACCGGTACTCCGGTCAGCTTGAAGTTCTTCGACTGTCTCGCGTATGCGCCCTCTCCGTACAGGAACAGGTGGTATCGCGGGAAGGATTTGGTGACATTTTCGCTCAGAGGGACGGGTAGGTATTCTGGGTACTCGAACATGTACGTCATTTCGCACCTGTTGTCCTCATAGTTGGACAAGATGTCGAACAGGCCGACCAGGACCAAACCAAGTATCAGGACTGGCCGCACACTCGCCATCGTGTCTTCTTTTTACACTAGCAGGAGTGGGTGGGTAAAACTGCAATGGAGAGAAATTTACATAGATCAGCATTGAAAATATTTACTGTACATGTTACGAGCTATCACTGTTTTTTTTACATCATATATTGACATCATTAATAAATAATGAACGTGGCTATATACACACCCGGTGTGTATATAAAATTTATTTGTCTTTTATATACACACCCGGTGTGTATATAAAATCTATTTGTCTTTTATATACATAACCGGAAAGTTGACAGGGCAGCCATTCGAATGATCTGTCGCCGGTGGGTTATCCAGAGTCACCAAAGGGACCGGGGCGAACCCCGGGTTGGTCTTGGTCTGATAAATGCACGCCAGACCGTGAGGTCGGCGCTTCTTCCGCATGTATTAGCTCTAGAATTACCACAGTTATCCATGTAGGATGTGACGATCAAAAGAACCATAACTGATTTAATGAGCCATTCGCAGTTTCACAGTTTATGGCTTAATCTTTGAGACAAGCATATGACTACTGGCAGGATCAACCAGGTAGCGAGGACGACAGGGGC